TATTCTATTCTATTCTATTCTATTCTATTCTATTCTATTCTATTCTAATTCTAATTCTATCTTATCCTATCCTATCCCATCCTATTCTATCCTATCCCTATTCCATTCTGCTTTTAGCCTATTGATTTCACTGGGAATAAAATGCAATCAACTTAAATCTGTAAACCACCCTGGCATCCGAGGCTCGTAATGCACGTAACAGAAATTTCCTGCACTCTTTTATGTTCTTCCTCCCAACATTATTTAAAAGCTCCAGAGAAGTCACACTGGGGGACACGGTGTAATATTTCTGGACGGATAGCAGCTTTAAAGCCACAACATCTTTTGTGAATTTCATTTTGATCCTGTTTATATGGCGAGAGTCCTGGACGCTGCAACCTCTCTGATGTTATTTTCCTCCAGATTAGGATTCGACTCAGGTTCCTGATTTGCTGTTTTTCCATTTCATCGTAAGCAGTTTAAGATGGTTTGCCAGTGGTAATTTGCAATTTTTATCAAGACCTCTTCATTATAGCTACTGACAGGACAGATGCTGTAATTAATCATGCAAGACAACTGGGGATAGTGGTCAAACTGTTTTCCTTGTATGGAGAAGAGAGAGGGGGGGGATGTACAACAGTGAGTACAACAGGGCTCCGGATTTCCTTTTTCATTGGACAGACACTATGATTTTTAAGGTCAACCTAGATAAAACACTTTTTTTAAAATCAATGAATTCTGAACTAAATACACAGATGCAGATCTATGCAAAAAAAAAAAAGGCTTATGCTGAGCATTATCCTAATTGCAATATAGGTATTGTTTTGTTGGTACATAAGGGGAAATAATTGCATTTATTGACCAAACGGGCAAAGATGGATTTAGACTTTTCTCCATCAGATGCCACCTTCTCATAATTTGGGGGGGGGGTATTTTTCAATGTTGTCTTCATGAGCCAATACTTCAGTATTATCTATCACTAAGTGTTGTATCTTATGATTTATGACTATGATCGTAATTTATCACTTACAGCTTTTATATACAATGACAGCTTATGCACTGAAGACAAATTCCCTGTGTGTCCGATCACACTTGGCCAATAAAGAATTCTATTCTATTCAAATTCTATTCCATGCCATTCTTTCCTGTTATTCTATTCTATTATTCTAGTCTATTCCATTCATATTCTGCATCCTGTTCTGCTCTGTTCCATTCCATTCCACTGTTTTCTGTTATTCTATTCTATTCTATTCTATTCTATTCTATTCTATTCTATTCTA